CGTCCCCTGCTGAGATAGTGCCACAAACAGCAGTTGTATTTCACAGAGACATCGCTGCATTTCCTGCAGTGATTTTGCCCCCAAACCGGGTTTTTTCAGCCAAATCATGATGTTTGTCAAACCACAACAAAGTGGTGTTTGTGCCTTAACACATGACACATTAACCACATAACGTTTTAACATATCTGCTACACAATAAAGTGAACTCAGTCGTGGTTTACAGAAACGTACAATGCCAATATATTTCCTGGCGACTGAGTTGAGTAGTTTCAGTTGTCTAAAGGAAACCTAAACATTCAGCTGATGAGATGGTCTTTCATGAGGGCTGCTGTTGCTGAAAAAAAGAAGTGTATCTTTAATGTTCGCAGGATGACTCATAACAACTCAGTAGCAGATGTAACGGGGGACAGATTTGGCTTTAAGATGAAGATCTGAAGATATTAAGAACAACGACTGAGCCAGTGAACAGTTTGGAAAGAATCCACGTGCACTCTCAGACTCTTTCTCTTTCGCTGTTTGCTGCTGATATTCAGCATTAAAAAAAGAAAAACATGTTGTACATGGAAAAGGCAATATTAAGAAAATCACGCTGAGTCATCTTTAACTCCAGCCTCCCATCACCATCATCACCATCATCATCATCATCAGTGTCTCTCTTCCTTTTATTGTCCATTAACCGCCTGCCAGATTCAGTCCAGTGTCATTTCCATAATGGTGCTGCTGGCATTTGTGGCTGCTGCTGTGTGAGTGTGAGCTCGTCCTCTGCTCTGCAGCCTGACAGAGGATATTTAAGGTGGAATGAGTCAGCCAGGACGGAACCTGCGCCGTGTGCTGCTGAGTGGCAGCAGAGGCAGCGAGGTTGTGACCCGGCTCTGCTCAGATAACCTTTAAACTTTTATCTTTATACCGGCTCACGATAATCAGTCTGACTGCAGCTCACTGCACGCAGCATTTAAATACAAGTCTGCTGGTATTTCACATTTTCCTTGCTCTCAACAAATCACATGAAAACAACACCGTCCAGTCACCAGTAGAAAATATTGCCATTGCACCAATGAGAGATGGCTGCCAAGCTGCAGAACAAACAACAAAACCGTTTGCTTTTAGCAAAACACTGCTGTGTTTCCAGCGGCGTTTAAGGCATCAAACATTGCTGTTGCGTAGCCACCTGTCACTATTTTTTCTGCAGCTTTTTTAAGCAACCTGTCACTTTGTTTCCAGCAGTTTTAAAGCATCCAACATGGACGTGATGTAGCTTCCTGTTGCAATGTTTCCAGCAGCTTTTGAGGCCCTTAACGTGGGTGTTTTGTAGCAACTGTCACCATTTTCATGCAGATTTTTAAGCAACCTGTTGCTTTCTTCTAAGTGTTACTGAAGCCCACATCATGGGTGTTTTGTAGCAACCTGTCACCCTTTTTTCTAGTAGCTTTTTAGCAACCCATTGCTGTGTTTCCAGTGGCTTTCAGGCCCCAAATGTGGGTGTTTAGTAGCAACCTGTCACCTTTTTTCCAGCGGCTTCCTTAGCAACCTGTCATCATGATTCCGGCGGTGTTTAAGGCAGTCACCATTGGTGTTTTGTAGCCACCTGTCACAGTTTTTCCAGTGGCCTTCTTAGCAACCTATCATCATGTTTCTAGCAGCGTTTAAGGAATCAAACATTGCTGTTGCGTAGCCACCTGTGACTATTTTTCCTGCACCTTTTTTAAGCAACCTGTCGCGTTGTTTTCAGCAGTTTTAAAGCATCTAACATGGAAGTGATGTAGCAACCTGTCAGCATTTTTCCAGTGGCTTTTAAGACCCAAGCTTGGGTGCTTTGTAGCGACTTGTTATCCTGAGTCCAACAACTTTCTTAGCAACCTATATCATCATGTTTCCAGCAGCGTTTAAGGCATCAAACATTGGTGTTTTCAGATTGGTCTCTGTCTGTGAAACACTCAGACTGGTCTCTGTCTGTGAAACACTCAGACTGGTCTCTGTCTGTGGTGCTGAAACACTCAGACTGGTCTCTGTCTGTGGTGCTGAAACACTCAGGCTGGTCTCTGTCTGTGGTGCTGAAACACTCAGACTGGTCTCTGTCTGTGGTGCTGAAACACTCAGACTGGTCTCTGTCTGTGGTGCTGAAACACTCAGACTGGTCTCTGTCTGTGGTGCTGAAACACTCAGACTGGTCTCTGTCTGTGGTGCTGAAACACTCAGACTGGTCTCTGTCTGTGGTGCTGAAACACTCAGACTGGTCTCTGTCTGTGGTGCTGAAACACTCAGACTGGTCTCTGTCTGTGGTGCTGAAACACTCAGACTGGTCTCTGTCTGTGGTGCTGAAACACTCAGACTGGTCTCTGTCTGTGGTGCTGAAACACTCAGACTGGTCTCTGTCTGTGGTGCTGAAACACTCAGGCTGGTCTCTGTCTGTGGTGCTGAAACACTCAGACTGGTCTCTGTCTGTGGTGCTGAAACACTCAGGCTGGTCTCTGTCTGTGGTGCTGAAACACTCAGACTGGTCTCTGTCTGTGGTGCTGAAACACTCAGACTGGTCTCTGTCTGTGGTGCTGAAACACTCAGACTGGTCTCTGTCTGTGGTGCTGAAACACTCAGACTGGTCTCTGTCTGTGGTGCTGAAACACTCAGACTGGTCTCTGTCTGTGGTGCTGAAACACTCAGACTGGTCTCTGTCTGTGGTGCTGAAACACTCAGACTGGTCTCTGTCTGTGGTGCTGAAACACTCAGACTGGTCTCTGTCTGTGGTGCTGAAACACTCAGACTGGTCTCTGTCTGTGGTGCTGAAACACTCAGGCTGGTCTCTGTCTGTGGTGCTGAAACACTCAGACTGGTCTCTGTCTGTGGTGCTGAAACACTCAGGCTGGTCTCTGTCTGTGGTGCTGAAACACTCAGACTGGTCTCTGTCTGTGGTGCTGAAACACTCAGGCTGGTCTCTGTCTGTGGTGCTGAAACACTCAGACTGGTCTCTGTCTGTGGTGCTGAAACACTCAGACTGGTCTCTGTCTGTGGTGCTGTTTTTCTTTGTAGTACTTTTGTGTCTTTTTGTTTCTCTTTGTGGTACTTTTGTGTCTTTTGTGGTACTTTTGTGCCTTTCGTGTCTTTTGTTTCTCTTTGTGGTACTTTTGTGTCTTTTGTGGTACTTTTGTGTCTTTCGTGTCTTTTGTTTCTCTTTGTGGTACTTTTGTGTCTTTTTGTTTCTCTTTGTGGTACTTTTGTGTCTTTTGTGGTACTTTTGTGTCTTTTGTGTCTTTTGTTTCTCTTTGTGGTACTTTTGTGTCTTTTGTGTCTTTTTCTTTCTCTTTGTGGTACTTTTGTGTCTTTTTCTCTCTCTTTGTGGTACTTTTGTGTCTTTTGTGTCTTTTTCTTTCTCTTTGTGGTACTTTTGTGTCTTTTGTGTCTTTTTCTTTCTCTTTGTGGTACTTTTGTGTCTTTTTGTTTCTCTTTGTGGTACTTTTGTGTCTTTTGTGTCTTTTTATTTCTCTTTGTGGTACTTTTGCGTCTTTTGTGTCTTTTTGTGGTACTTTTGTGTCTTTGAGTTCATCTTGTGTCTTTACGACGTATTTTGTGTCCCTTTGAAAAATTTTGTGTCTCTTTAAGTTATTTTTTTTGTCTTCATGGTACTTGTGTGTCTTTTTGTGTCTGTTTGTGTTAAATTTCAGTTGTGCCTATTTGCGGTACTTGTGTCTGTTTGTGTCTCCTTGTGGTAACTTTTTGTGTTTTTGGCCATTTTGTTTCTCTTTGTGTTGATTTGTGTCTCTTTAAGGTATTTTATGTCACTTTGTGGTAATTGTGTGTCTTTTTGTGTCTTTTTGTGTCTCTGAGTTCATCTTGTGTCTTTATGACATATTTTTTGTCTCTTGGTGTCTCTTTGAGGTCATGTTTTGTCTCTTTCAGTTCCCTCCAGCAGCTAACAGGTGACAAAACAAAACCACAATCGCAGCACTTGAACACTGATGAAGACGCTGATCGCCATGGGAACCATTAAAGCTCAGCCCGACTGGGGAGGTGAGTAATGAAGTTACAGCAGTAATCTAACACCTGAGATGATCCTCGTGATGTTCTTACAGGGGCGCAGCATGTGTTGACTGTGCAGCAGGTGAACACTCATCAGCTGATCATACTTTCACTGGAGTAAATTCAATTTCTGAATGGATTTAATACGGGCAGAATATTCTAGAGACTCATCTCAACAGTGTGTGACTGTGTCTACATCATAGTGTTAGTGCTGCTGTTGCCATCAACAGTGTGTATACAGGAACTGTAACTACACTGACTTTAGTGCTGCTTCATGGTGCATTCACCTGCTCTGTGTGTCCTCTACCTTTCTCTTCTTGTTGTTGTTTTCTGTCTCTTTTTGGTCAATTATTAGTTATATTATAGATCAAACATCCTGTCTGTCCCTGTGTCCCTCTGTCCCTGTGTCCCTGTGTCCCTCTGTCCCTGTGTCCCTGTGTCCCTCTGTCCCTGTGTCTCTCTCCGTGTTGTCGTTACAGGCTGAGCAACAGAATGAATCACTCGTGCAGCCAGACACATCCGAGCTGACCCACGGTCACAGCGTTTGCGTCAGTGACGCAATTTAGCGGCGGTGTAAACAGATGTGAGGCAGGAAATGCAGCACACATGAAGCTCACACACACACACACACACACACACACACACACACACACACACATATATATATAATGTATCAGAGAGGCTGAGTGAATCATGCAAACAGTAGAAACAAATGGTTAACAGCCGAGTTTCCTGCACAGATGAACTCACACACACATCACACACACACACATCACACACACACGCATCACACACTAACCCTGGCAGGAGACAGGAGCAGCTCCACAGCTCGTGACACTCACAGCTGTGACACGCAGAGTGACACAAAGTGCTCGGAGCTCGCTCCAAACTCGCTGCTGAGTCCCACAGTTACTATAGGAACACCGTGTCACCGGGGAAGTCGTGATTCACGCCGCCCATCAAAGCCTCTGATGCCGGCCGGGGCTTACCGTGTCGGGCGGCCGCGCAGAGCCGGCACGAGGCGGTGAGGAGGAGGCACAGAGCTGCCCAGAGCCGCGGAGACCTCATGGTACATCCAACATCCACCGGAGCGACGCTGCTGCTGCGCTTCTTCTACCAGCTCTCCATCTCTGAGAGGCTGCTGCTGCTGATGATGATGATGCTGCTGCTCAGGAAGTGTGTGTGTGTGTGTGTGTGTGTGAGAGAGAGAGAGGTGGTTGGTTAGAACAGGTCCACAGGAGGCGCCACACTGTAAGAAGTGTAACAGACTGAAGCTGAGCAAATCAAAAGCTGCTCACACACACACACACACACACACACACACACACACTTCACACAACTATCATCAGTGAGACCCTGTGACCTCATGTGATGACGTCACATTCTGGGTTTACTCGACCTCACACTTCATCCTACTGAACTCAGACCTGTTGTCCTCGTTCGTGGACGCGCGCGCGCGTGTGTGTCATCTAGTGGCAGTGAGCGCACACTACACTGAGCCATGTGAAAACAAGATGGCGGCCATCTCTGCCGAGTCAGTCTGCAGCTGATCCCGACACACAAGTGCACAAGGTCCAAACCTGATCACATGGTGTGGTTGGAACTTGTTGATGGCAACAAAGTTGACCAGTTTTAGCAACAGGAACAAGATGAGATGCTGTTACCATGTGGTTTGATTTTGTGTCTTGTTTTGCAGTGATTATGACATTCTGTCCTTTCAGCTGCACGTTCCAGTAGTTTGGTTTGAATGTCATAACTACTGTTTGCTTTTATTGTATTTTTTTTAATATCTTATCTTATTTCATCATATTCTCTATTATATTATATTAAATTATGTTCATATGTTTATATCATATAATTTTATTTTGAATTTAATTTTATTTAATCTTATTTTATTTTATCTAAATTTCTATTTAATGTTTTTTATTTTATTTTATCTAATCTTATTTTATTTA